AGTGGTGTGCAGGGACTCGTTGAAGATGGAGGTGAACACACCCGCTAGCTGGTCAGCACAGCAACGCAGCAGACGACCGGTGATGCCGTCTGGTCCCGCCGCTTTCCTGGTGTTCACTCTCTTCAGCGCCGCTCGGACATCGCGCTCCACGAAGCTGATCACCCGGTCCTCGCTGATGACGTCACCGTCCTCCGTTGTCAGGCTGTAGTTAGCACTAGTGGCCTGGCTAACCTCGAAACGGGCATAGAACTTGTTCAGCTCGTTGGTGAATGCAGAATCGGCGCTAATCAGCGCGGTGACCTTGGCTTTGTAATCTGTGATGGTGCGCAGTCCATGCCACATGCTCCGTGTGTTACCTTGGTGGAAGTGAGACTCCACGTGTTCCCGATACCGGCGTTTGGCACCCCTCACCGCGCGCCGGACGCCGTATGAAGCCGCTTTGTAGGCGCTCATATCGCCGGTGGCGAGACCCGCGTTGTACGTGGCGGTCCTGGCGTTCACTGCAGCGCGGCTCGATCTGTCCACCCACGGTTTCTGGTTCGGGAACGACTTGACTCTCACTGTAGGGATGATCTCCTCCGCTAGCATGCTTACGAAGCTAACTGCTACTTCCGTAAACTCGTTGATGTCGTCCGCGCATGACCGGAGCATGTCCCAGTCTACGTCTTCGAGCGTGTTCTGTAGCGTAGCTTCTGATTGGGCAGACCAGCCTTTCACCTCCCTCGTGACTGCCTCATCCCTACGTATGCTTTGTTTATACTGAGGGATGAGGAAAATGGCGTTGTGGTCGGATTTTCCAAAAGCTGGATGTGAAACCGCTTTGTAGCCCTGCCTGTATGGCGTGTAGCAATGATCCAGAAAAAGTAGAGCAAAAGGAAAGAGTAACAAAGGGACAGAGTAACAAAGGGACAGCTTCTGCATCTTACTGTTGGCATCTTACACAATGAATACAAAAGCACTGGAAAGCAATGGAAGATCTGTTTGGAGGATGGCTGTTGCATAAAGCAGCAGGTTTGTAAGACCTTGATTATTTTCGTGTGTGCTTTTGTATTCATTGTGTCACACCCGACTCTCCAGTGTTAATTTATTTTGGTTATATGCTAGTGACTATGTCACTATAATTACTAGTTGTAAACATTTGAGATGGCAGATTAACAAATATTTTTTTTTATTAAAAAAATGCTAATTATTTTCTCAATAAAGGTGGTAGCAGTCGACGAAAGCTGGCTGTAATTCCACCAGAAGCAGAAGGGTATTCTGTGAAAGCTCTGAAACCTGTGTCAGTAGGTGGCAAAGGCACTAATTACATAGTGCCCCTTCAGGAGACATTGGACACATCTCCTCTGCCCCCTGACTCACAGCACTTTTCTAAGATGCCAAAGAAGATTTTTTTTTTACCAGCGTAGTGAAGAGATGCCTCTGCAGATGCTTGCAGTACACATCAAAACCTGCAAAGGAAAGTATTTTGATGAAACTGATGAGGTGAGAGCATTTTTTTTGTTTAGTTTTATGGACTAACAAAACCTACATTAATTATTAAAATGACTGTTTTTTTAATCTGCAGGAGTTATGCATTGTGGAGAGCAAGTGTAAGGTAAAACTAGCCTATGACTAGATTCCAAAATCACTGTAGTTCTGTTTGGATCTGTATGTTTGTTTCAGTTGTTTGTAACAAGCAACTTTCTTTCAGGTGGTTTGTCCAATTTGCAGTATGGAATTTCCGGAAGATGAGATCACAGTCCATGCTGGTTTGTGTGGAGAGAGGTAATCTGTTTTGATTTGCTCTCTTTATGATTAACTTTTTTAACAGAATACTGTCATTGGACACTCAATGTTTGTTCTATATACAGCTTGGAATGTACAGTGCCTGCAGCAAGTGACAACAGTCATTGTACACCTGTTCGAACTCCAGTATGTAAACCAAAAAGGTACATTTTTTTCATGTGCTTTCCATGATTTCAAATACAGGACCACTTGTGAAAATTATGTGCACCATCACTTGTGTGATGTTGCACAGCACATGCTGCAATTATTTCTAATGACATTTTATTTGGTAGTCCTTTTTTGTTAAATAGGTCCGAAAAGCATCAATATTTATGATCTGTCTCTGTTTTTGTGAATTTATGACCAAAAAAGTTTTCTATCCTGTTCCTTAAGCATGGAAGATGTATTGCACTTCCTTAAAGAGCAAGTAGACACCACAACAGAATTCAAATTATGTGTGGACAGAGAAGACCTTCTAGACAGGGCCATTATTCAGTGGCAGAGGAAAAAAGCTGCATCTCCCACTAGTGCTCTCAAGGTGGGGTATATAGGCGAGGCAGGTGTGGACACAGGGGCAATTAGGAAAGAGTTTTTGAGTGGTAAGTTGTCCATTACCTGTTTTGTCCTGGTGTAAATGGATCATCTAAAACTGGATATTGCTTTTGTGCCTAAGACATGATTTCAGGTATCGAAAAGAGATTTTTTGAAGGACATGGGATCCAGGGTAAAAATCCCAAGTACTCTTTGACGGACCTGGATAATGAAAACTTCAGGTTAGTTACATATGAGAGCTGTACATATTATATGCAGTATATTATATGTATGTGCAGTGTACTAAATGTATATTCTTGTATTCACACAGAACTATCGGTGAAATAATTGCGGTCAGCCTTGCCCAAGGTGGCCCAGCTCCTGCGTTTTTGAAAGAGTGGTGCTACACTTTCCTCTGCAGAGGAGAGATGGACATAAATTGTCTGTCTAAGGAGGATGTGGCTGATCTTGAATCTTCCCTACTCATCAGCAGAGTGAGCACCCTGCCAGGCAGCGTTCGATGTGCATTAGGGCTACAATGTTTTAAACAGCTTTCACCTTCTCCAGGGTTTCTGCAGGTTTTCTAAGAGTAAATTTAAGACTTTTTTAAGACCCGCGGAAACCCTGTNGTGACTATTCCTGATTCTTTCCCCCTTCCTCGTATGGAGGATTGCATTGACAGTGTGGGAACGGCCAAGTTTATCACAAAGCTAGATTTACTTAAGGGTTACTGGCAAGTTCCCCTTACTCCTAGAGCTTCTGAGCTTTCTGCTTTTGTGACCCCAGATGCTTTTCTCCAATATACAGTAATGCCTTTTGGTCTGCGAAACGCTCCAGCTACGTTTCAACGACTGGTGAATTTAGTGCTATCTGGTGTCGATAACTGTTCAGCATATTTAGATGATCTTGTTGTGTATTCCTTGGATTGGGACCATCATATGTCAACTTTGCGTGTGGTGTTTCAGCGTTTAAAGGATGCCTCTTTAACCCTTAATTTAGCTAAGTGTGACTTTGGAAAGGCAACGGTCACCTATTTGGGACATGAGGTGGGTTATGGTTGTGTGCGCCCTATAGATGCTAAGGTTACTGCTATCGTTGCCTATCCTGTGCCTAGCACGAGGCGAGAATTACGTCGTTTTTTGGGGATGGCCGGTTATTACCGGAATTTTTGTAGGAACTTCTCGACTGTTGTGTCTCCGTTAACCTCTCTGCTTAGTCCGAAAAATAATTTTATTTGGACAGAGGCTTGCCAGCATGCTTTTGAAAATGTGAAGACTTTATTGACTGCTGAGCCTGTACTTGTTGCCCCAAATTTCTTCCGCCCTTTTAAATTGGAGGTGGATGCCAGTGCTATGGGGGCAGGAGCTGTTTTGTTGCAAGAAGGTGAGCATGGAGTAGACCAGCCTGTATCTTACTTTTCACGTAAGTTTAATTGTCATCAGCTTAAATATTCTACTGTGGAAAAGGAAACCCTTGCTATGTTGTGGGCGTTACAACATTTTGATGTCTACTGTATATCGGCTCGACTTCACTTCCTGTGGTTGTTTTTTCGGATCATAACCCTCTTGTATTTTTATCACGGATGTATAATCATAACCAGCGGTTAATGAGGTGGGCTTTGGTAGCTGAAAATTACCAGTTAGACATTCACCATAAGAGGGGTTTGGATAATATAGTCTCTGATGCTTTGTCTCGTGTTTAAGTGGTCATTTTGTGAATAAACTGGGGTTTGTGTTTTTTGTGGGGGAATGTTACGTGCTTGTAGAGGGCACGTGTGGTTTTTTTTCTTTTTCCAGGTGTTTTGTCTTGTCTTGATCAAGTGATGAAGATTGGCGTTGCTCTTATCCAATCAGACGTGGACTGGGAGTGGTGCTTGGCCTATATGAACATTCCGGCGTGGCAAGATGGTGTTGTTCGTTTTCCATTGTCTCTTCTGTGATTTGTGAGGCTGTGTTGGGGAAGTCGATATTGTGGAGGATTTGTACATTTAGGTTTTCCTCGGGAGGTTTGGGGTTCTAATGAGGTAATTATTGTATCATGTGTATATATATATATATATGTATCTTTATATTTATGAATGTTGTCAGATGTATCTAACCCTGTTTTATACCCATTGGGCATAATTGTGAAGTGGAGGAGTAACATACTTACCCGTAGACTGGAATCTGTTTAGTGACACTAGCTGAAGTGGGCGGGCGCTAATCCCTGTAAGTTCTTAAGGGACAGCTAGCCTAGTTAGCTATATTTTGGTTAGACAGTTAAAGTGGTATAGGGTAAGTATTGTTTGTTTGTTTTTCTGATTTAGCGTAACCTTTTTGCTCCTCCCTAATTTTGGGTATAAATAAAATAAAATATGTATGTTACGAATCCCTTTTGGTAAATTTGTGGTGTGTTGGGCTGGTTAATGGTTACCTCGGCACAGTTAGCGAACGGATTCCACGTATCCATGTTCACTACCCTGCCCTAGACCAGGGGGTGCGTAACATATGGGGGCTCGTCCGGGATATTTATGGCCCAGCGTTAGTGGGATCTGTCGCATTTGTGCCGAGTTGTGTGCCGCGTGTTGATTATGGAGACGTCTCTCGGGCAGTTGTTTATTTCTGTTCCGCAGGTGGAGACTTTGGATCGTTGCCGTAAAGAAGATCTGTATGTAGTGGCTGCTCAGTTTAATATTGTTGTGTCTCGGACGTGGACTAAAAAGGAACTGTATCACGTTATATTAGAATCTTTGGTGGAAAAAGGCGTGCTTCAGGGTGAGCAACTACTGCCAGAAGTCGTAGATACTACGGTGGCTTCGGTAACTCCTGTTCGTGAGGTGCAGGAGACAAGTAAGGGGGCGCGAGCAAAAGTTACATTGTCGCGGTTTGACCCAGGTTTTAGCCTGAGTATGAGTTCGGGGGGGTCACGTGATGAGGCCCGTGTAAAGGTGCGCATTGCACGGTTACAGTTGGAGGCTCAGGAAAAAGTACAGCAGCGTGAATATGAGCACGTACTAGCTATTCGTCGTCTGGAGCTAGATAAGGAAGTTCGACTCCGGGAGCTTGAGGTGGAGGCAATGAAGATTGCTTCTGCTGCTGCTACCGGAGCGGAGACTACGGCATCTGTTACTGCGCCTGCGCAAATCCCTACTGGCACGCAGCNGCATCAAAACATTAATTAATGTGGCCAAGTTTAACAACTTTCTTTGCAATTTCTTCTTCCAAATCCTCCTTTTCCTTCTGCTTATCTTTTAACCGTCTTCGCAGTGCATTTGATTTGCTAATGAGCTGTGCCATCTGACTTATGGACTTCCTTTCTGCCTCTTCAGCATAGAGGTCAGCATCCTTTGCCAGAGATGAACAAACATCAGCCAATGTTTTCTTTTTTTTCTTCAGTTGCTGAATGTCTTCCTCTGCTGCCTTCCTCTTTTGACATTGCAGTTCATTGGCTTTTCTCTTTCTCTCCTCATCCAGGTGGAGTCTGTATCTTGATCTTGCAGATTTAGCTGCATTCAGTAACTCTTTTGATAAAGGCACATTCAAAATTCCACCTGATACCCTGACATAATCACAGATCAGCCTGTGTGCAACTACTGTGTCTTCCTTCATGTTCCATGTTTCTACTTCCTTGTTTACAGAAAATCCCCTTTCGACCGTTGCCTGACCATGAGACAAAAGGAGGACTTTTTTGCAGAAGCTCCACAGCTCATTGTAAGATCCACAGATGACACCATGTAAAAATTCGTCAAGCCGTTGGTTCATGGGACAGAAAGAGACAAAAGACTCGTCTTTGGCTTTATGAAGTAGACTGCCAAACTGCTGGGTTATTGCATCACCTGTACCAAGAAATATAAAGGAACAAATAGTTACAAAATTAATATAAACCAAATTATAAATTAGTATTGTTATTATAGTTTTTTTAAATACTCTACTCTTGCTGACCTAATCATAAAAACCTTTCTACAAATGTGTATATGTATTAAATACCAGCTGAGATCCCGCCAGGCAGCTGCTTGTTCTCAAGAAACTTCTCCACAAGATGTGTCATATACTTCTGACACATGTCTGGGTTTGAGTTCATTTGGTTTGGGTTCAAACATGATGTGTATCTGACCAAAGGATACTTGAGTGGGCTCCTTTCCTGCACTTTCTGAACAATGTTTGACAGGCAAGTTATGCAGTCCTTCCTAAACATCATTACAGCAAGCTCTCCTACTCTGCTGCTTTTACTCTGAAGAAGGGCCTGTTGAATAATACAAAGCCTTTAGGACCTTAAACACTACGTTAAAGGGATGGTTCACCCAAAAACGAAAATTCTGTCATCATTTACTCACCCTCATGGTTGCTCTAAACCTATATAAATGTCTTTGCTCTGCTGAACACAAAGGAAGATATTTAGAAGAATGCCAGTAACCAAACATCTCATTCCCCACTGACTACTATAGTAGGGAAAATAAATACTATGAATGTCAATGGGGGATGATATCTATTTTGTTACTGACATTCTTCTAAATGTCTTCCTTTGCGTTCAGCAGAACAAAGACATTTTTATAAGTTTGGAACAACCTGAGGGTGAGTAAATTTCTTTGTCTTCAGCTATACAGTACCTTAAGGACAGAGGAAGCACCTATTCCAATGTCAACATCTTTAGGAGGGACCCAGGTCTGCACATCAGTTGCATCTAATCTGGCCAGTTTAACCACAGAGACATCCAGTAGCTCTTTTTTGACAAAGCGTCTTAGAAGACTCTGTGAAAAGACACATTACCAAGAAAACATTGCATATAAAACATTGCATTGATATAATCTGTATATATTTCTACCAAATCTTGCTGCAATAACTACAAAGGCCCAGTTTCACAGACAGGGCTTAGCCTAAGCCAGGATTTGGTCATAGTTCATTTAGGACATTTAA